AAGGGCACTTCTTCGGCTGTGATCAAATCCGTCATAATTTCTTGTGCTTACTTTGTACTTTAAATGCAATGACAACATATATATGTTACGTTAATATGCATGTTCGTTAATTTAAGATGGATAGAAGCGTAGGAGATATATAGTTCTACGATATTCAATTTAATTTTTTTGCTTATTATCTAACATTGATATTAAATTACTAATATTATGAAACGTTATGAAGAGAGTATATATATATAGTATTGTGAACAAACAAAACGTTACTATTAAAAAAGAACGAATAAGGGTGTAATTTTCCGTCGTTGACCCACCACAAAATACCCCAAATTAACGAGAAAAGCAATAAAGAAGATCCTCTATTTAATAAGGGTGTAATTTATTTAGGAAATATCTTAAAGTTTTATTCAACGTCCGGCCACGTTCGTTAGCAAGATCCTATATTTAATCACGTGTAACAAAAATATGCAAAAACTCGTACTTTGAATTGAATTTGAAATAAAACTAAGACCACAAACGAATATAACATCTCATGCATGACTATGTTTTCAAGTGAATATACTCCGTATATTTTTATCTTTAAAGTATTAGCTAATTCCTCTTTCAATGGACACCCTCACAATTGCAAATTATCCTATAATAATAATAAAATAAAATAAAATAAAATAGAGGGAGTATTATGATTTCGAAGGGAGGGAGAGGAAAATAATATAAAGATCGAAGAGAGTAGTACCCTTAATGAGTATTGCCTGCTAAGTTTGAGGATTAGAGGGAATAGTGCTTGTTATTGTACTGTATTAGCTTTATAAATTTCAGTATTTATAGAGAGGCCTAGACTTTATCAAGATCGGACAAAGATGCATGATGTAGTGTATGAATTTTAAATTAAGCAATCAAACATAAAAGATAAGTTAAACTATAACAGCGACAATTTGATAAATATCAACGCATTCAAAGGGCTAATTTCAGATTTCTTGGAATCTGCAAGTTCTGATATTGATTCATACTTGTTTGTATAAAATAAATGTACATAATATCTTCTTCAACGATATGCATGTTATCAACTAAGGACATTTCTAATATAATCATATCCAAAGTCTATTAATATTTGTAATACTTTTAGCAATAATCGGCATATACAAGGCTCATTAAGTTATTATTATTCACTCATAATAATGAATTGAAGATATGATAAGAAGAGAGACACGTGTGCTCTGACCTTGAGCCACGAGGCATGTGTTAAATGTAGTCCACGTTGAGTTATTTTCTCAGTTAAAAATTATTATTAAAATTAGAAGGATATTATTCTCATAATCATAGTTGTTAAAATCCCGATTCGGATCTTACGATCTTACGATTTTAAGATCCAAAATTGCGTGATCGATGCGGATCTTTGGCAGGATCTTAAGTTTGCAGAATCTTACAATCCTACTCCGATATTAATTATGATTGGTAGGATTTCAACACAATCCTACGATTTTACTACGATCCTACGATCCGATCCAACATTTTACTATAATACGAGACTTTGATTTATTTCGACATATTTTTTTATTACTCATTAGGTTATATGCACCTAAGTTTAATGTATTCAATAATTATCGCTAATAAATTAGCGAATCTGAGACATTAATATTATTTTATCAATTGACAACTTGCAATTGTCATAGTTAAGGTCTCATTCTTGACAAATTTGCACATAATTTATCAATTTAAACTTGTGTTATTAATATTCTAACTACCATACAGACAAAGCTAAATGAAGATCGACCTTTCTTAAGCAAACCAATATCTTTTAGCATTGAAATCCCTTAGAAGAAATGTTTTTAAGTCAATTTATAGCATAATATATAATATTATTCGTTATTAAGTAGGATCTTACGATCCTACGATCCGATTCTATCGATTCGATCCCACCCCCCATCGATCCAAGGTAGGATCCCAATCCTAACAACCTTGCTCGTAATAATGAAGACAGTTAATTTTTTATTCATACTATAATTGATCAAAGGTCCATTATAGAAGTCCTCAAAAAAAAAGGTCCATTATAGAAACATATGACTGAGAATTGCAGGACAAAATTAATAAAACTTAATAAAATTCTTGCGTACAGCCGGTTTACACTAACCTTAATGTAAGGCCAGATTCGCACGTGCCAATTAGAGTATAAATAGCGCTCAATGTGCCGCATGCAAAACATCGTCTTCTTCGAAATATTCTCACAAGTTCTCTGCAAATTCTCTGCAAAACATCGATGGATTCCCTAATTCACAAATTATTACAATCTCAAAAACAAACTCAAGCTCCAATTTCAAACGATTCGCAAACTTCAGAAGAAATTGAAATTGATTCTGTAATTGATGTTGATTTAAACAACGATTCTATGCAACAAACCCTAAATTGCAGGCAATGTGGCAATAATATTGACCTAAATTGCGAAATTGATGACAATGCAATGCATCAAAACCTCAATTCAGGTACGTAATTTTGTATATGAATTTGTACAAATTTACCAAAAATAGGTAAACTGGTGATTGAATGAATTACAATCAATGCAGATTCATATGAGAGTAGAGTTCATCTCGATGAAGAACAAATCTCAGTTGATGAAGTGCAAATCTCGGTGGATGAAGAGCAAATCTCAGCGGATGAAGATTCAACTTCTGAAGGTAACATTAAGCTTTTGAACAGTTGCAGAATTGTTCAAAATCAGGAACCTCTTCCGTCATTTGAGAGTTGTTGCTCTCGATTGAAGCTAGCTGAACGAACCATCAAAAATCGTTTGGCCAAGGAGAATATTTCCGGCAGCCACACCTCCTCTAACTCCACCGCTCTCGTCGCTTCTACTGACGGCAGTGACTCTTCATCATCATCTTGCCAAAGTTCAAAGAGCAACATGTAGAAAAAGAACTCCGTTAAGAATTCAAGTAGGGGCCGCACTAATTCTTTAAATGGGGCTTCGGCCCAACAGCAATCCGGTTTAGTTCCATTTAATTGGCAGCAGCAACCGTGGGCTGCTTGGGCTCCATGGCTTGCACAATGGCCCAATCCTCCTCCGTGCCCATATCCGGCATCCTCTTGCGAACCAAGGGCTGCTTCTGCTCCGAACAATGGGCCTCGGCCTGCTGGGCCTGGCATCCTAGGCTTTAGACCTCAGGCATACAATGCTATAGGACCTTCTAGCTATACTCTGACGGATGTTGAAGCGGCTATGAGTGCTCTCGCATTTCCCCCACCGGACAGTAGTTACTACTTGGACACCGGTGCCACATCTCATATGACTTCAAATCAAGGTATTCTCTCTTCCTATGTCAATTCGAGCATTCCTCATAATAACATTGTTGTTGGTAGTGGTCATTTAATTCCGATAGTTGGTCATGGTAGTAATACTTTGTCTTACCCCTACCCACCTTTCACCTTAAGTAATGTTTTGCATGCTCCTTAATTGATCAAAAACCTTATTTCCGTCCGTAAATTCACCACTGAACATAATGTTTCCGTTGAATTTGACCCGTTTGGTTTTGCTGTGAATGATTTACAAACGGGAACCAAACTTGTGAGATGTGACAGTTCGGGTGATCTATACCCTCTTTTCTCCAACTCACAAGCCAATCCTAAAGTCAATCACTCTACTCTTACTACTAGCTCTTCCGATTTTTGGCACAATCGCTTGCGTCATCCTGGTGATGCCGTTCTTAGGTCTCTAAGTAGTAAAAAGTTTATTGATTGTAATAAGGCTTGTACTTCTTTTTGTTCTTCTTGTCCTTTAGGGAAATAATCTAAATTACCTTTTAATGATTCTATGTCACATACTTTTTTCCGTTTGACATTATTCATAGTGATCTTTGGACATCTCCTATATTAAGTTCTTCCGGCCATCGTTATTATGTTTTATTTCTTGATGATTATAGCAAATTTTTATGGATATTTCCTATTGGCAAAAATTCTCAAGTTAAACACTTGTTCAAATCTTTTCACTCGGTTGTCCGTACTCAATTTGAACGTAACATTAAGACTTTTCAATGTGACAATGGCACTGAGTATATCAATGGAACTTTAAAGGAATTTTTTGATCACCATGGTATGTTGTTTCGGCTTTCTTGTCCTCACACCTCTCCCCAAAATGGAAAAGCATAATGTCACATAAAATCAATAAATAACATCATTCGGACTTTACTTGCTCATGCCTCTTTACCCCTTTCATTTTAGCACCATGCTTTAGAAGTGGCTACGTACTTGTTAAACATTCTTCCCACCAAAGTTATAGAATTTAAGTCACCCACTCAAATTCTCTATCACCGTAATCCCATCTACTTGATTTTACGTGTCTTTGGTTTTCTTTGTTTTCCTCTTTTTCCATCCACTTCTATACATAAATTGCAACAAAGGTCCACTCATGTGTCTATCTAGGTCCCGCTTCTAATCATCGTGGCTCTAAGTGTTACGATATGTCAAATGGTCAAATTCTAATTTGTCGTCATGTAAAATTTGTTGAAACTAAGTTCCCTTTCTCCAAACTTCACACACCTCAAAAAGAGGATTATAATATTTTTTTATTATAGTCCAACTCTCCTCCATTTGCAATCCCAACACGTCACATCTACTCCACCCATCACTTGTGCAGCAGAGGCAGCAGGAGTATCACCCGCAGCTCGGCCATCGAGCGTTGGGTTGTTGCGAGACCCCCCCCCCCCTATGCTACTGCCTGGCGCAATGGAAATCAAGCGCCCACTGGGTCGGCATCCACGCCATCCTCCCCCAGCAGGCCTCGCTCCCCCCTGACTGTCACACTCTCCCCCTCTACCACCTCGCAGCTTACCCCACACACTCATACCCCTGAGTTGCGCACTGCCCAACCAAGCACCTACACCCACCTAGCCCCACAAAATTCTGAACCACAAAGCATCCAACCCCAGCCCATACTCAACACCCATAGTATGACTACAAGAGCAAAACATGGCATCTGCAAGCCAAATTCCAAATATTTTCATAACTTAAACACTATGACTACCCCTAACATATCTCCTATACCAAAGGACCCTATTAGTTCTATTCATGACCCGAATTGGGAAAATGCAATGTTGGATGAATATAATGCTCTTATTGCTAATAATACATGGGAATTGGTACCTAGGCCACCGGATGTTAATGTTATTAGGTCCATGTGGATTTTTCACCATAAACGTCTCTCTGATGGGTCGTTTGAAAGGCATAAAGTCAGGCTTGTAGGTGACGGGAAAACTCAGAGGCAAGGTATTGATTGTGATGAAACTTTTAGTCTAGTTATCAAACTGGCAACTATTCATACTGCATGTCCTTAGCCTTGCTATTTTGAAGTCTTGGCCCATTCATCAGTTAGATGTCAAGAATGCTTTTTTTACATGGGTATCTCAATAAAACAGTCTATATGCATCAACCCATAGGGTTTCATGATAAGAGTCGTCCTGATCATGTTTATTTATTTAAGAAATCCCTCTACGGCCTCAAACAGGCTCCACGAGCCTGGTATCAACGTTTCGCAGATTTTGTTGCTACTATTGGTTTTTCTAATTGTAAATCTGAAAACTCTGTGTTCATTTAAAGACAGGATTCTGATATGGCTTATATTTTGTTATATGTTGACGATATAATTCTTACAACATCTTCTGATCATCTTCGGCAGCAGTTTATGACTCTTTTGGGTAATGAATTTGCCATGAAAGATTTGGGTCCCCTGAGTTTCTTCTTAGGGATTGTTGTGACTTGTAATGCATCTGGTATTTTCTTGTCCCAGAAACAGTATTCTACAAAAATCATAGACAAGATAGGAATGGATAACTGTAGCAGTTGCCCCACACCGGCAGACACTAAACCGAAACTCAGTGCTTCCAAGGACACTCCATATGAAGATCCCACTAAGTATCGTAGTCTGGCCGGGGCATTATATTACTCACTTTTACCAGACCTGACATCTCTTATGTAGTTCAGCAACTTTGCCTTCACATGCACAATCCCCGGAACGAGCATATGAGTGCTCTCAAGCGTGTTATACGCTATCTGCAAGGTATTTTGTCATATGGTCTTCATCTTTATAAATCTTCCTTTGATAAGCTCATTTCTTATACTAATGCTGATTGGGGAGGATACCCTGACACTCGACGTTCTACCTCAGGTTATAATGTTTATCTTGGTGACAACTTAATTTCTTGGTCGTCAAACCGACAACCTACTCTATCACGTTCTAGTGCTGAAGCTGAGTATCGCGGAGTTGCTAATGTTGTCTCTGATTCTTGTTGGACCAGAAATTTACTCCTTGAGCTACATTATCCGATTAATAAAGCAACTCTGGCATATGGTGACAACGTGAGTGACAGGCTAAAGTCGTATCACCTAATCAAAAGAATTACCTAAGTCCTCTAACTAAAGTAGATAGGGAATTAGGGTCGAATCCACAGGGAAACAAGTATTTCTATTCCTAATTAATTAATATAATCTAAATTATCAAGTAACCAAATTGTTTTAATGAGAGTAAAACTAATAATTAAACTAAAGCAAGTTGAGTAAGGGAGGAAAACAATGATAAAAGACCTAGGGTATAGGTTCACCAATAAATAATATTCCAGGGTAAAAACATAACAATCAATTATCAATGCTTAAATTAATCAGATCAAGTAGGGCTTTTGCTACGTATTACAATCACAGAATTAATCTACCGGTATTAAATCGCATCTCTCGAATCTTGAATCAATATTGAATAACTCATACAATTAAACCAGCGCTAATCTAATTGCATAGCAGTAAATCAATCAATAGGAAATTAACCAAAGCATTAACAATTAACAATAATAAATTACCCCTTCATATTATTTATGGATCCCCACAACCCTAGAAATAAAACTACTCGTGCATATTTAAATCTAAATTAAGCAAAGCAATTAAAGAAAGCATAATTAAATCAAGCGATTAAATTACTGAAAGTAAAAAGGAGAAGAAATCGTTACCAAATTAAATGGAACTAAAGAATTGCATAAACCAAAAGTGTAGAGAGAAAACAAGAGTATTCACTAAAAGCTAAACTAAAAACTAAGAATTTTTACTAATGAAAAACGTCCTAGCCCGTCTAAACCTCCTTAACAAAAGCGTATTTATACTTAACTAGAAAACCTAAGCTAAAACGAAGATTAAAAGTCGCTAAACGATCTCAGAAAAACGCGCCCGGTCGGGCGCCATCTCGCCCTGCCGGCGCGCCTTCGGGCGAGCAGCAACTCTCTTCCTTCTTCCTCGCCCTGCCGGGCGCGCCTTCAAGCGAGGGCTTGCCCGACCGGGCGAGCTCCCGGGCGCACTTGGACTTCGTCAATTGGGCCGTTTCTTAGCCTAATTCGCATTTCCTCTTTGGGTTCTGAATACATGGTCCATTGCCCCGGACTCTTCTTCTACGCCGAGCCCTTAATCACCGATTTGATGACTCCAACCGGCCTTTGGCTATGAAATATGGTCATAATTCTACAATGCTCGTAGTGGCTTACCATAAGTCCGGGAAAATGCTCCAGATCAGCAATTTCATATAAAACAGTACCAAAACTACGAAAACACTAGAAAACACATATTAGTAATAAAAGTAGCTCCGTAGAGCTCAAATAAACACAATTATGACCATTGGGACGGGGAATAAATATATGTAAAATAGACTTATCAAACTCCCCCAAGCCAAACCTTTGCTTGTCCCTAAGCAAAGCAATGAATAAATAAACCAAAAATTCACCCTAAAAATAATTTAAATCAAGCATAATCGATTTAAAGTAAATCCAACTAATATGCATCAAAGTCAACCAATCGAATCCATCCAACTACTCATCCTCCCTAACAATTGTCAAATAGAGCAAACCACAAGTGTATATGGAATTCAAGACTAGTGCTCACGCACTCTTCACTCTTTTATGTGGCGGATATAAAATGTATCCGATCACTCTCCATCCACCCCTTTATACGTGAACAATACCCTCCCAAACTCACAATACTCGTGTGTTTAAAAGACATACACTCAACCTAGTAGTCGACTCGAAATATATCAAATCATTCTTTGCATTGATAAACAACTAATTTCACATTCATACAACTCTATGCACAAAGGTCGGAAGGTCTTTAAAGCTTGTAACGTAAGTTTAGGGTAAAAGGTAGGATAAATTTGAGAAAATGTGAGAGTAAAGCCATGCTTAAGGGAGCCAAAATCCTAATAAGTAAAACCAAGGTCAAAATTAAATAATGACCAAATCATCTCTAAACACAACTCAACTCTACCAAAAATTTACCAAACATCCAATTATATTAAAAATTCCCAACACTTACAACTTCACTCGTATATACATAATATAACATTATAGAACTTGAGTGAACAAACAAGCTTTGAACTCATTTTTTTCTTTTGAATTTGATTTTTTTTTTCTTTTGATCAACCAATCACTTAGAACATTTGAACATTGAAATAATTTTTTCTTTTTTGCTCTTTTTTTTTCCTTTTATCTCACATTGGAAATTTTCAATTCTGAACAACAATTTCTCAATTTTTTCCAATCCACAAAAATAAGAACAAATAAATAACTTCTCAAATCCACCCACATTTTGCAAATTATGTGCACACTACAACTCCCTCACCTCACTCACTAATAGCTCCCCAAGCCAAGCTTGGGACTAGTAACCAATGGGGCTTAAATAGGCTTGTAATGTGGCTAATAAACAACAAAAAGTCAAGGCAACAACATGGGTAGCAAGAAGGGAATAAATGTATCTAAAATCGTTTGAAGGCCACCTAAAAGAACAAATGCCTTCGTCCTCCTCAATGTGCATAATAATGAGTCATACAAACATTACTCAAAGTTTCAAACCAATACTCAACTTTATTGACATACCAGGAACTAACACACATTCCTAACCAAATCAACTAGCTAAGCACCAAATCCACAAATAGTTGGACAAAATTGACGCATGTTAGGGCATCCAAGCAATCAAACATCAAATCATGGCTAACCTATCCACAATACTCATCATCATATACCAAGAATCAAAACAATTTTCATAAATAAAAACTACTCTAGAAAGCAATAAAACTAAACGAAGCACACCAAAGAAAGTAAAAAGAAAAGGGAAAGAAAGAGTACCTATATATACAAGAAATTCCCCCCAAGCCAAACCATACAATGTCCTCATTGGCTTAGGAGAAGTTAGTAACCCAAGCTATTACCCCTCATCATCAAACTCGTAGCCACCACCATCCCAGGCATCACATTTCAGCACTTTGGTACAATTCTGGACAAAAAAGAAACAAAGTGTTAGTAGGAAAAGAGGCAAAAATGAGTCAGGTTCACTATTTTGCTCATAACGTTTTTTATACAAATGATAATGCAGTGCTTCTAATTTTATTGAAAAGTAGACTTGAAGAGCTTTCCAATGATAGGTCACACGCAAAATTTTGTTAAGAAACGCAAAAGATATGGTGTCTTAAAGTTGGTCTATTTTGATGTCCCACTCACGCGCCCGGTCGAGCGGCTCTCCGCCCGGTCGGGCAGTTTTGACTTTTTTCGACCTTTGTTTGCACCCCCGATCGGGCGGATGTTCGCCCTATCAGGCGAATTTCGCTCGTATACGGACTTCCTCTCGCGCCCAGTCGGGCGACTGCTCGCCCAGTAGGGCGCGCTACAGCACTTTGAGTCTGATTTTTCTCAATTTGCTCCTTTTTCTCCACTTGTTCATCTTCAAACCCAATCCCTACACAATTTAGAGCTCTTTCTATAATATCCACTTCATCTTTCCATCTAGTAGCTTTTTCTGTGGTAACACAAAATACCGCCTCCAAGGGATCTCCAACGAGAGCTTGGGGCTTATTAGAAAAATTATTTACACCAACCACACCAATACTAAAGCATTTTTCCTCTAAAATAGGGCTTTTAGGGGAATTATGTAGATTAAAAGTAATATTTTCATCCTCTACACATAATGTAAGTTTACCACTTTTCACATCTATTATTGCCCCTGCAGTATGAAGGAATGGCCTACCCAAAATAATTGGAATTTGTAAATCTTCCTCCATATCAAGAACAACAAAATCAACAGGTATATATAAAATTTACCTACTCTAAAAGGAACATCCTCTAAAACACCTAAGGGGTATTTAACAGAACGATCTGCCATTTGCAGAGTAATATTTGTAGCTTTTAAATTACCCATATTTAATTTAGAGCTCATAGATAGTGGCATGACACTTACACTGACACCCAAATCACATATAGCTTTATCAATCAATCAGATTACCAATGTGACAAGGAATAGAAAAACTACCCGGATCTTTTAGTTTAGGTGGAGATTTATTCTATAATATAGCACTACATTCTTCAGTAAAAGCAACTGTCTCCACCTCACTAATAGATCTTTTTCTGGTCAAGATTTCTTTCATGAATTTAGAGTATGCAGGAACTTGAGTAATTGATTCGGTGAAAGGAACTGTTACCTGCAAATTCTTGTCAACTTCCAGAAACTTACCAAACTGCTTATCCAACTTACTATTAAGATGTCTATTAGGGAATGGTAGTTTGATAACTGGTTTCTGCACATCAACACTCTTGTCTTGAGTTTTATCCTTCTTTGGAGTTATACCCTGCAATGTATCATTAGAATTGTTAGTTTTTCCCTGGAGCCCTACAGGGCTAGTAACAACAATATTTGGTGTAACAAAATCAGGATTAGCAATATTTGTAATGATAGGTTCATCATCTTTGGGCATAAGATGCCCATCGTATTTTGAACCACTTCTCAGGGTAATTGCATTCACGTGATCTGTAGGTTGTACTGGCTGTGATGGTAGGGCTCTCTGCTGGCGAGTTTGTAGAGCAGAGGAAAGTTGCGCAGTTTGATTGTCCATGATTTTATTATGAGCTAGAATTGAATCAATTTGCGCATCCCAACTCTGCATCTGTTTCTGCATATCAACTA